TGAATTTCTTTTCCAGCTCCTCCTAACACTGAACATTGGTGTCGCTATTGGTTGTTATTATATATAGTTATATGCATATTTGAAGTAAAGTGTTTCTTTGAAGTAATAAACTGAATTGATGAAAGAAAGACACACACATAAATAAAAAGTATTGAAAAAAAAAAGCCGAAATTCACATTTTTTTTATCGTTAAACCTTTTTGAAATGATGATTAAACTCTTCTTAATAAATAAAAAATATATATTTTATCTTTCAAATAAATACAGCTCCTAATTGAGAGAATAACTAAATACACATGTAGGAATGGGCGAAGAGTCTAACTGTGATTAAATTCAGAGCCGAATTAGGTGGTTCCTAATAATAGAGTACGGATACCGATAATTTATACCAAATAATTTTATTTGTTACCCAATAAAATTTAATTTGCAACAAAACTTATTTTCTAGTCATCAAACCCAGTTGTGACGAAATATTATTTTGTCGTAATAAGAAATTATGTTATTAGCTTAATTGAAGTTGTTCATACTATAAATAAACAAGACTTTTTCGCGAGAAATTTATTGCAACAACTACAATTAAACATTAGTCTCAAACTAGTTGAGTTTAGGTGTTCAATTTTTTTATTAAACCTACTCTATTCAGTTAATATCAAGAAATAAGCAAACATAAAAAAGGATTTTGGAAAAGAAAAAAAAAATTTGATAAAAGTTTTGAACTAAGACATACAATAATAAAAAGAAAAGTTTTAAGTCTAGATTATTGGAGTTGGATATATGAGCCGTTTGTCTACACTTTATTTTGTTCATAACTAGATCCTCGTTACTCAACAAACCCTAGATTTTTCGTGACCACTTGCCTCTATCTAGTTTTAGGTCTACCTGTTCCCCGTTTAGTACTCTCTGCCACCAAAGTAAATCTCACTTATGAACTTCTTTCCGGTTTTCAAACCACTTTCCTCTATGTGGTTGTAGGTCACAAGTAACTCATTAATTTGCAACGAGAATTATATTGTGACGAAGTGATTACATTGCTACTGAAAACCCAAATTCCTCTAGTGTCTATTTAATTTATTTAAAGAGCTATATACGTATAGCGGTAGCTGTTCAGAGATGTAAGGAGGCTCTTTAGAAATTTTGTATTGTGTTTCGCTTTTCATATAAACGATAAAAATAGAGTTCAACTTAACAAAATATGTGCATACAATACATAAAGCTAAGAGATAATTAGTTCCTGTAAAAAGCTGCTAAATTTGATATAATAATAATAAAATAATTAATCAGATGCTGTAAGAAGAAGACAAATTGATTTAATTAATTAAATAACGTTAATTAATTTTTTGAAAAAGGGGTAGTGTTATAATTTGATTTGATGAGATATAGTAAAAGCTAACATAAGAAAGCAGCTTTAAACATTCCAAAACAATTGTTGTTTTGCATGAAACAAGCTGAGTCTATGCTCTTATGGAGCCGTCTACTTTACTTTTGCTGCCTCAAAATATTACTAGTAATTGCCTTTGCTTCTGTTAATTAATTGCACTCTGTCTCTCTCTCTGTAACTTTTTTAGTGTAGTTCTTCTGCTGGCGCTTCCTCTCTCTCTCTCTCTCTCTCTCTCTGTAACTTTTTTGTTAGTTTCTTCTGGCGTTACTCTGCTCTCTCTCTCTCTCTCTCTCCCCTCTCTATCTGCTCTGGGTGGCAACTACGGTAATATATATATATGATATATATATATATAATGTGAAGTAAGTTAGCACATTCTTCCTCTTCCGTCTAGAGGGACATCGACTCGCCAAAGCGTCCTAGAACGTACGGAAGAGACGGAGACAGGGCAGAATAAGTCCTCCTCTCCACATGTACTGGCTCCGCGCCACGAACTCTCCATTCGGGACTACGGAAGCCAACTTGCGCGAGCTAATCAACACCACCTATCTACATTTATAGTTATTGAAACCCATTATGTATGGTATAAATTTATAATGTGGGTAACATGTGTAAAATGTTTATCTCAAGAAAGGATTAACATTTAAATTTATTAAATTAAATGATATCCTCCCGCCAGTAACCAGTATACGGTCACATCCCCCGCTCTATGTGCAATAGTTTTCACTTTTCATATCCAATCTATCCGTTAAATCTTCACACTTGCATCGGTTGCTTCACCACGCAACTTTCTTGAAATGGCTCAAGACTGCGCAGTTTGCGAAGAGCCATCTCGTTTGCTTTAACTGCATGAGTACAAGCTGAATCTAGGGCTTGTTTTTACATACTGTGGAATCCCTTCCCGCACACACTATGTCCATAGCGCATTTGTGTTGCATATGATGGATGAAGAAGAAATACAACGTGATGTGTGTCTTGGTCGCCACCTTTTTAATTTATTCTAAGGGTAACCGTAAGGAAAAATACCCTAAGTGACTTCCATTCTGATAAATTTAACCTATTACTAGATTGTTAATCTCGAGATATATTTCGAGGAAAGATAGAATGTTAGCGTCGACAGTCCTATTTGCTAATTATATAATGCATTAGAGCAATGATCTTTGATCGGATTTACTCAGCGCTTATGTGTGATCCAGCTCATTCAAATAATTTAACTCCACGTATATCATTTTTCATTATACATCCTCTTTTTGTTATCGATCTCATTTGTATTTCTGATCCAGTGTGCTTCGGTCTTTATTTTTTTTTTTTTTGATGAAAAGAAGGGATGATCTTTGTCGTAATCTTCTTTCAATTCAAGAATATATCCCTTAATGGTCTTTTTTTTTTTTTTTTTGATGGAAAAGAAGGGTATTGATCTTTGGTCGCTGATCTTTTTCAATTGCCAAGAAATATCCTTTAATTAATCTACTCTTTCTTGGAATTCAATGGTTAATTGTAAAACATACACGGTGTAAACCTGTGAGAGATTATGGGTTCTAATGCTAATTCGAGTCCAATTAATGAGAATTAAATTGATTTAACATTTTCTTTATTGATCATAGTTAAAGTCTCATCAAAGTCGTTACTTTAATTAGAGTCTAATTAGTGGAGAAGTAAAAAAAAAATGATTGATTTAATCATTTTCTTGGTCCATATATATATAAAAAATGTAAATATATATATAAAAAAAAAATGTACTTGAATTTTAGGTGGTTCATCACCTGACCAGACTTGACCTATATATATGTTTATGTCTACTAAAGAGAAGCCAAACCTGGCTAAGGGTCTCTTGTTTAGTTATTTCCAAATGGGAAAAATTATTAAAATTAAAAAGGTACAAGAAAAATGTTAAAATTGTATTTTTTTTCTGGGTCCAGCTGGGTAGCCATTTTAGGTTAAGCAATTGCAGCATGGGGCCATTATGTAGCTTCAATGGTTGACATTTTAGTATCACAATTGCAAGCAATTGGATGGCCAGTTGCAGTAGTCCAGTCCAGCATAACCTATTGCTTGACTAGACTCTGTACAGATATGTACATTAGGGCTAGGGTTAGGGTTTTTCACTTTCATTTGCCTCTTATTTAAAGAATCTGTCTCTTCCATAGCTTCAATTGTGTTCGATGAAGGCCTTGAAGCTCTCTCTCTCTCTCTCTCTCTCTGCCTATTAGATTGCAGATAATGGGAAAAATTATTCACAAATCCTACAATATCATTCTTCAATCTCTCATAAATTTTGCACTTTTGAGCACCTGAAACTCATCATCATCTTATTGAATAATTATGTCTTGATATTTTGCCAAATAAAATAATTAAGAATTTTTTTGAAAAAAACTGAAGGCTTTCCAGACTTCAATTAAATTTTTCTCAGTAGCCTTTAATTTATCTCATAGAGCTTCTTCAGCATAGCTTTAGAACTGTCTGAAAACATGAATAGTCCAAGACAGAAAGAAACAAAAGCTTATTAATTGAAAGTAGGAAAGAAAAACATAAATAAAATAAAGCATTCAAAAAATTACTAAATGTATAGATTTGTTCATTTTAAGAGATAAAAATAACTGAATGGTTAATTATTTTCTTTGGCATTTTTTTTCTGGGAATTGGTTCATTAATTATGATATGTATAATTGGGACTTCAAGGCAAAAAGTATTTGCAAACAATAGATTATTAATCAATAGAGCCTAATTGTAGATAAACATTGCAAGGCTAATCCAACCCTAGGTAGATCAATTTCCAGAACACTTTGAATGAAGTTCTTGAATGTAGATAAACAAAGTTTGACGCCCTTCAAACGATTGATTGAAGTGGGTTTTGCAAGAATTTTGTATACTTGGAATAAAAATTGAGAACCCAATAAAACACATAAGAAGTTATAGAAAAGGAGAGATCATGGAAGACATAAAGAGTGGATGATGACGCAAATAGAATTGCATTTAAGGCAATTAAATATAATGTTAAAAGAACAGGAAGAGGATCATCACATCAGACGAACAAGTTACAATGCTAGCTAGCTATAAGGGAAAGAGATCCACTGATCAACTCTTACTTTTCTTGACAAATTATTACATATTTCAGTTTTTGATTGTTTCAATACATATAGCATCATTAATAAACTTTCATTCAGCCAAAAAGTGTTTATGTATGGAATTCCCAACCACTTGTCTCTAGGTCATTGCCCACATTGTACAAGCATGGCCTAACTATAAATGTTTCAAGAAACTAAAAGATCCCAAATTTGGTTTCTTTTTATTTGGTACTTGTAAGAGTAATGTATTTAAAAATAAGTTTTTGCTGTTATATATAAAACAAGTTTTTATAATATAATTATAAAATTTAATAACTGATTAATTATGTATTAAGATCAAGCTTATAGTCTCTTCATCCCAAAGAATAAAAAAGAGAAAAACGAGTGTACAAAATGACTGATTAATATGAATTGAAGGCAGACCAGGACAAGAAAAGATGTTAAAAATAATAGAATAGAAAAAATAAAAATACAAGTGACATGCAAAATGAAGTCGAAAAGCAAAAGAGAGAAGAGGGAGGGGGGGGGGGGGGGGGGGGGGGGGGGGGGGGGGGGGGGGTGTGTTAGGAACTTTCAGTTGAAATCTAACTCCTTGTCCCACCCAAAAGCTCTAGTCCCATTCGAAACACAGTTTGGATAGTACAATTACACCAACACAAACCCCGACCCCTTAAATCCCACCCTATTGCTCCAGGCCAAACTAGATGAGAGTGTTAATGAGCTCAGAAAGCTGCCCCAATCCCTGTACATAAACCCAAATAAAAACCCATTGCACGACCCCATTTGTCAGTTTTGTTATGTCCCTCTCTTTCTCTCTGATTGCCGTGTCAAACCAGATAAAAATATACTTGTTTCTTTCTTTCATAATAACACTATCAATCCCACCATTAATTTTATTTTTTCTAATATTATATATATGGAAAGAAAAAACATTAATCCTTTTAATTAAAACCCATCTTGAAACCGATTGATCGATGTTGTTGGATCCATTCTCTGCTGCTGCGTTCCTGCATAGCTGCTCAGTGACCCGTCTCTACCACTTCCCTGATCCGATCCACGGCTCGAACCACCACCTAAACCAAACCCACTGCCATGTCCCACCGGCGCACCAATGCAAGTGTAATTTGAATCTTGACTACCCATATTATTATAGTTATGTGGAGGAAATGTTTGTGATGGTGAGCTGTTGTTAAGTACATGACCAATGTAGTAATCGTTAATGGGTTGTTGTTGTTGATGATGATGATGATGAGGGTATTGTGAAGGATAAGGAGGTAGACGTGAAGGTGATGTGTATAAATACGGTTGATGAGTTGGTGGTGGTTGTGGTGGTGCTGGCGGCGGTGGTAAAAGTGCTGATGATGAAGATCCAGAGAATAGTCTTCCTGTTGGATAAACTGATCTGTACGGATCGCCAATGTTGCTCGATGGATGGTAGCTTCCTGCCGCCATTGAGAGGCAACTGCTAGACCAACATTTTATATTATATATTATAAAATATAATCAAACAAGAACAAGAACAGTAGCATAATATGTGCTCTTGTGCAAATGCAATAACAAGAGCATTTTACCTTCAGTTTTTATTGATCAAGATTCAAGAATACCCAAGATTCAAGATTTTCAAGATTCAAGATTCAAGATTTAATAAAACAGAAATATCAAGAATTTATGATTTTAGTCCAAACGAGGAATTTATGTTTCTTTTGTTTATGTGCATACGTACCCTAAGTGACCACCTTGGGCAGCTAGGTTATCGCTATTGAAGACCAGCTGGCGAGCTCGGTTCAGAGTTTCTGTCTCTCTTTCTGAGCAGCCAAACGACATAAATCAAATCAAAGTAACTAATTTTCTTTAAGAAAAAAAATAAGCATTTAAAAATAAAAACTCAATCCCCCAAAAAAAGAACCAAGAATTTCAACAAAACACCCACTAACTTGGTTTTCCTCGAGACTGATATGATATGACCACGCAAGCTATAGGTACTATCGTTTCATGCTAAATCAATTGTAAAAGAAATAGGTTTTTTAATAAGAAAGAAGAAGAAGAGATAAGAGTTGCCTTGTCTGTGTCGGTTCATGTGGCCTCCAAGAGCTTGAGATTTGCAGAACTTGAGGGAACAAAACCTACACTCATAGACCTTACCGCACTCATCTTTCCCATCCTTAGCGCCGCTTTTCTTTTTCCTATAGCCTGTAACAAAAGCAACTAATTTGAGAAACTTCGATGAGACCATGCTTACCTGCAAAACCCGAACCCTAGTTACCCAAATCGTGCATAAACATCGACCATTTTCTTCTTCTTCTTTTTTTTTTTTTCTTTTCTCCTCCTCCATTTCTTCTGCCTCTACTTTTCCATTTCAACCTTCACTCTCCCAATTCCCAAATTAAAATAACAATAATAATTTTTGAAAGAAAAAATAAATTGCACTTGTTTCAATAGTAGGCAAGTATTTTTCCTTTTACACACAGCCTAGATTTTGGAAAATCTTGTTTATTTTCTTTTTCTGTGAGTGTGTTTTTTAATTTCTTGATCATATTTAATCTTCCCCTTTTCTTTTATTAGAAACATCAAAGAAAAAAAATGCACATACCAGAGGAAGAGCTGTCGTCAAAGACTTGTTTACCATCTCTGCTGGTATAATCATCAGGCAAATTGTTGAGGTCTAATGGGTTCCTTTCAGGTCTCCTGGAAAATAAAAAAGAAAGAAAGGGAAGTCATAAAGAAAGAAAATAATAATAATAATAATAATAATAATAAGAGAGAAGGAAGTGAGAAATGGGGTTGTGGGGGTGACCTACATGGTACCGACAGAGAAAGACAGTATAAGAAAGAAAGAAAAAAAAAAAATATGAGGTAAACAATCTTTCAGATAGGAAGATAATAACTAAAGCTTTAGAAAATTATAAGACTTCAGTTTGAGACTGCAATATAGAGGCTAGTTGAGTGAAGATAGAGAAAAAGAGCCTTTGAAAGTTCTCTATCAGTTAATCTGCCAACCCTTCTGGACTTATCTCTCTCTCTCTCTCTCTCTCTCTCTCTCTCTAATTGAAGGGACAATATGGTCTCGTGACTTTAAAAAGGGTTAGAAAAGAGAGAAGGGGGTAGAGAGAGAGAGAGAGAGAGAGAGAAATTAATTTCAGTATTTTTTTTAAGAGTCTAAATATAATATGACACATTATAAAGCAGAAAGTAGAAAGGTAAGTGAGAATAATTGTGGATAAGGTTGTGAAGGTTAGTGTGACGATGTAATTATCAATGGAGTCCTTCATTTAGGTGAATTACAATGCAATAAGCGCATTTTCATAATTTTTCAGAACAAGTTATGGAAAAAGACAGTAATACCGAAAGAAAGAAAAAAAAAAAAAAAGTGATGAGGTAATTGAATAAATACATCTATTTGCAGTATAATGTGAAGAATTTAATACGTCTTCAAAGAGCTTCTAGTACAATAATTAATACTAAGTCCATCAAAAAGTTTATGATGAACTTGCACTGACCATGTATATCATAGAGAGCTAGATTGTGATGATTAGTTATATGTATCAGACAGAAAAGACATTAGAAGTCCATGGTAATTTGAAAAAAGATAGTCCTCTAATCCCAAAGTTTAATAACATTCTCTCAGACCAAAACTTTTTCACCATTTCGTGAGGACTATAAATCATACAATGTCTCTTCTCAAAAGTATCCTCAAAATCCCTCTACTCATAGCCTCTCACAAAAAAATTGAATGGGCACACATAAATGGTCCTTCGTGACTACAATTAAAAAAAGGGTTTTAAAGAAAAAAAGTAGAAGAAGAGGGGCTAGTCACGAGACAACGAAGCAGAGTTAGAGAGAGACCGATTGAGATAAGAGAGAGGATAGGGATGGGCCTTTACAACGCAGGCGCACGTGTACTGGGAATTTATGGTTTTGGTAACAATTCGTTACCACTCTTTCTGGTCTTTTAAATTATTCTCTCTCTCTCTCTCTCTCTCTCTAATTGAAGGGACAATATGGTCTCGTGACTTTAAAAAGGGTTAGAAAAGAGAGAAGGGGGTAGAGAGAGAGAGAGAGAGAGAGAGAGAGAGAGAGGAGGGGGCTTAAGGGCGCAGGTGGGTTTTGTTTGTGTCATTTTGGTTAGATTTAAGGGAAAGGAAAGGGGAAGAAGGGAAGGAATGAGAGATATTGAGAGGGACGTTGCCTCATAAGAGGGGGCTAACTCTATCACCTACAACCTGCTAGCTATCATGTTCAATGATATGATGAAATACATAAAATAGTTTGTAAGCTTCAATCTTCTGAAATCATTTCTTTTTTAATTTTCTTATGACTATCGTCGCAGTCTTTTTTGAATCTGAGACTAATTTAATTTAGAGTTCCCGATTCCTCTATGTAAGTATAAGTTTTTAAGTTCAAACATTTTTGCATATCTCTAATTAAGCATTAAATAAAAAGAGCAATACTTCGCCCTACAAATATGCTGCTAAAATAATTGCTACAAGTTTATTTAAGTTTCTTTTTTTTTTTTCTTTCAATTTTTGTTATGGTCCCCAATGCATAGATGCTGAAGGGGTTCCTGAAGCAGCATCATTGTACCACGGACTTGCCATGGACCATGGAAGTGTTACCATCAACATCTAATTGTTAGGTTTTTGTGAGATCTAACTCGGGATATAATAGTCTCAACCCCACATAATTTGTTGTTTTATTGTTTGGAACATCCTAGTTGCTTCTTCGTAGTCATTATCAATCAATCTGAATCCTGAAACAAGGTTTACAAAAATGGCATTTCTTCTTCTGAAATTCTATTTAATAACATTGGATTCAACTTAATTCTAACTTACCTTTTAAACTTGCATTCAGAAGTGTAGTTCAGGGTTAACGCATTCTTCCACTTTGTAATTAGTGCAAGCCCATTTCTTGAAAATTAATGGGTTCTCAGCAGAATATAAAGAAGGTGATTGGGTTTTCCAGTGGCAAATTAATAGCAGGTGGTTCATTTGGACCACGCTATCTTCTGGCATTGACTTGGTGGTATTGATTATGATTAGCATAACATATTTGTATGGCCAGGCCAAGCAAGCAGGCAAAGGCCATGTGTGCCCAAACATCTGAAATTTTTCTTACAACTATTTGGATTGTTGCTTTAAGTGGTCCATCCCCACTATATGTCCAGTAGTAATCTACGAACATCGATGGAAATTTTATTTAACCATTTTCGGTCAAATCTTCTACCTTGCTGTGTTATTAAACCCGGTTTTGTATGGTTCAATGATTCAATTAGTGGGTCATAAAATATTAAATAATTATAATATAATTAAAAATATTAAAAAATCGGTTTGAATCAATTAGGTCTAGGTCTACATGAGTCAACTGGTTTAATTACGAGTCAATCAGTTTAATTCAATTCTCTTCCTTAAATGGTTCAAAAGCAAAATCGACCTAATTTTGATACCGATTTCCGGATTGATCCACCGAATCGTGTGGGATTTAATAGCTATAATACATCCACATCTATCATTAACTTTCACTTTAGGTTCATTTTATGAGATAAAAAAATAAATTTGATTTAGAAGGAAATTTTTTAAAAAAAAAAATAAACAAGAAAAATCAAGACAAAAAATAAATTCTGTTTCTCATCGTTATTAAGTTGACAGAAATACTACTATCATTCATGTACTATACAATAAAGGAGTAATTCTCAACTTTCAATAATTTTTACTAAATTAGAATAATTAAGTTCATATCATTTAAGATATTTGAAATTGAAATCTCTCAATCAATATATTTAAAAAAAAAAAAGAGAAAAATAATAAGTCAACAGCTCGCAAAAATTAGAAAGAAAGTACGAAAATATAAATGGGGAAAAGCACAATCATTAGTTAAATTGATTAGCAAAATGGTAAAAAATAAGCAATAAAAAAATGAAAGATTATTTGGTACTTTGATTGCTATAAATAATACTGCAAAAATACATAAAATCAGACTAAAATAAAAAATGCAACACTCTCAATTTCATTGCTTGTATTAATTATGATAAGCAATGATGCTCCCTTTCTTATCTTACCCTACTGTTTAATTTTATAATTGCTACTATGAATTATAGTTTGATTTTTCTTTTTTCTTTATTCTTTTTAACCAGTTTTAAGCAAACTTTTATAATTCACCCGAAAAAACTAGATTAATAATATAATATAATTGATATAATTAATATCACGCCCGACTCCAACCACCAGAAGAATTATCCACTTTGAATCAAATCAATTCCATCTTATACTGGATTGGCAAGACCCGCATGATTTTATTCCCATGTGAAATGAAAACTTCCTAGAAAATCACCCATCCTAAGATTTTCATTAAGCGAGCACCCTTAATCTTGGAGTTTTTCCAACTCTCGAAGCCATTTCACCAAAAGACGCCTTTGATGATTAGTTTCTTCATTTTCGATATATGATCTGATTCATTCTTGTGTCCCACATTCCACTATTCATAGCTAGTCTGCTATCCCAGAAGCTAACCAGAAGCTTTCCTCTACTCATCGTTTTGCCAAATCGGGATGTCACAATTAAAAAACCAAATCAATATAATTTAATCAAATATCAATTACCACTGATCATGTAAGACTTAATGTGGAAGCCTGATAGCTTGGGTTAAGTCTATTGAGCTTTTGAGGTTTTCTTTGCGGTTTTAAAATTTTAATAAATTGTTTTGCTTATATAAAAGAAAATATTACTGAGGTCCTCCAAGTAATTCTTCCAGATGCAGGAAAATTACTTAATTAGCTTCTTGAAAAGTTATTAGAGATGATTTTTTTTATTAGCATAATAAATTTATTTTATTAATTTAAATTAAAAAAAATTATATCTGAATTATAAGACTTTCCACTTACACCCATCCAAACTTGAATGATTGATGATGGCAATGCTCTCTATTTAAATTTTAGTTAAATAAATCAAGGACAATATAATGGCTTACTCAAGAACAATATAATATTATTAGGAAACTCCCATACATCAAAACTCAACAAACTCGACCTACGGGTGGTAGCTCAGTTAACAATATAGGCTGTGCATGTAGAAAGAGCTCTTGAGTTCGATCCTCACTAAATGCATCTGCAGAAAGGGGCGATGAGCCTTAACTGTGATTAAGCTCCAATCCGGATTAGACGGTTCCTAGTAACGCGTATGGATACTGGTGATTTATACCAAAAAAAACCAATAAACTCACATATCTCGTACGTAATACATATGAAATATAAATATAACAAATTGATAAACCTAATAAAATTACTAAATGCACATGAATCATAATTATAATAAAGTGGTAAACCTAAAATGATTTTAAATTAATTAAGCATTTTTAATTCAGTAGAGGTATCACGACTTGTAAGTTTAACAATTCTTTCAAAAGATCAAATTTATTAATTTGTCTCGGGACTTTAATTTCAAGTTATGTGCTTTTAATTACTCGTAAATAATTGCAGAATTAACAATTATACTGAGCAAATTATGAATTTTGGAAATTTGCAAATTATGAATTTAGGAATTATAGGTTATTTTAGGTAATAGTTTTTTCCATTTTTTAGAATGAATATGAAAAATTTAATAGAAAAATCTTAATGGAATCATATTTCTCAATGGAATAGACCAACCAAACTAAAGATTTCTTAAAATTAATAATTTCTTATTTTATATTTTAGTTACTTAAAATAGTGTATATTTCATCATTAAATTTAACATACTATCTTTTTTTTATTAATCTCAATGTTACCTCCTCATTTATACTTTTATATAAATTATTATAAATAATTTTTCATAATGAAATAAATATCAAAGTTAAATTTATAGTAATATAAATTAATTATCAAAAAAAAAAAAGAGGGCTTTGGTTGGCCTAGAATAAGATGGCATAATGCACCACATATTTTCTGTTTATTTATTTATTTACTAGGCGGTCCTCTGTGCTTCGCACGACTGTATAATAATTATATTTTTCATTTGAAATGTAAAATATATATATTGAGTAAATTATAGAAATTCATTTTTTAAGAAAAAACATGTCTAGAATTATTATTATTATATATAAAGTCTTGTAGGTATTTAAA